AGCAGAGCCTTAGGGATCAGAGCAGCCCTCGGGAATATAGGCAGTTCTGTCCTCCCTGTCCCAAGGCAGACTCCTGCGGGAGACACCCTGGAAACCCTCAAGGCGGGCCTCAGACGGCCATCTGGTGTGGCCACGACTCCACACGCTGCTTCTTCAACCTAGCAGCCTAAGAAGGTTCCTGCTGCCCAACCCCTCAGACGCACATCTCTAGGCAACACCGTGGTCACTGTGACGCAAGTGCAGGGTCAAGCACGCGCAGGCGCAGTGGCAGGGCCTGTTGAACACAGGGAGCCGGTTTTCTGCAGGCTGCCACTAGGCAGGTGGAGGTGTAGTACTGCGGTACCCAGGGTGGGTCCTCTGCCTCGCTCCCCTCGGAATGCAATCCTCTGGGTTGCTGCTCCGCCCGGTCGTGGCAGTTTCACGTGAGGTGGGCACGCCTGAAACCAGTCTGTGGATCTGATTCTACAATGGATGGAAATGGTGTCTTGGATGATACTGGATTGGAGAATGGGGCCCGTACAATTGAGAAGATTCCCGAGTCCCGATTGAAATTGTTAACTGAGAACTCCTTGACTCTGAGTCCAGTGCATCACTTGGAGATGGGCCTGGGCCGCCCTGGCCCTGGCCTCAAACCCTAGGAGCCCCTGTATCTGAGAATAGTCTTCCGTGAAATGAAATGGTGCATGGGTACAAACAGAAATGCAAAGTACCGCAGTGATTCACGGGCAGGTGCATTGGCAACCCAGAGAGGGAGTGGGAGTGTGCTTCTGGGGCAGCTTTTGGTCCTTCCAAGACTTAAGGTGGCACCAAGGCCCGCTTTCCACTGGCAGGACAATCACCTGCCCCAAGAAGCCTCATGAAAAGAAACTATACCTGGAACCACAGGAGGAATCGTGCTGAAGGCCACGCTAAGGTCTGAGACAAGGAGAGATTCTCGCACTACGGGCCACCAGACCTCTATCCCATTTCTTGGTGAAAACAGGGGACCCGAAAGTTTCATAACGTGTAAGTAGTCACATGCAAGGAAACAGGAACTGGGTATCACTACAGAATGAAAAGTGCAGAGGAAATGGCAAGTCTGAGGATGGCTGCATTTGAATGAATCTTCAGATTCTAGAACATTGTTAAATGAATGGACTCTTTGAGATCAAGGTTCACCTTCACACAGAAGGTATGGAACCCAGAACACTGAGGTCATTTTGTTTGTTTCTGAGACATAGTTCTGGCTGCTTTGCTCAGGCTGGCCTCCAACCCATGATCCTCCTGCCTCAGCCTCTCCTGTAGCTGGGCAGGACTCCACACTACTGCTCAGTAAGATCATCTTAATAATGATGTTATTTAGAAATATATGTGGATAGGGCCTGGGGCTGTAGCTCAGCGGTAGAGTGCTTGCCTGAACATGTGAGGCACTGGGTTCAGCCTCAGCACCACATAAAGATAAAGGCATGCTGTCCAACCACAACTACAAAAAAAAA